TCCAGCTATCAAATAACTGTAACGACCCATGAGTATTCTGCTAGTTCATAAAATTGAGGGAAGGGATAGTTTTGAATCTTTTCATAAAACACACACTTTTCTTTTTTTCCCTCAATGTATGATTATTTATTTGTTACCCTTAAAGACTTATATTTTACTAGACTCAGACTTAGAGGTAGAAGCTCTCAGTGAGGACAGCCTACATCTTGTGGTGATCTGTTCCTGGTGCTTTTCTTTTTCTTTTTTTTAAATTTATTTTACATAACAAAGTCCATTTAAATGAAAACAAACATTTATAGACAATATTTGGGAATTTGGGCATTGTTCTTTCCAAACTACTTCCTGCTGGTAAGGGGCACTGTCATGGGGGATTCAAAGAAGATTCAGAAATCCTGGCTGTAGTCAAAACACACACTTTTCATAAAGCCCTTAGACATCTATGAGAGACAAGTAGTGTCCTTGACTAAGAACACAAGAATATCCTTAATGACAACACTAGATATGTTACTTAATATTCAGTGACACATTAAAAAAAAAGACCATTCTTCATGATCAAGATGCCTTCTCTAGGAACACAAGAACACAAGAATCAACCCACATACAAAAATTGACGAAAATCTGAAAATCATAGGATAGCCACATCAAATATAGTCATCCATGAAAATGAATGAAAGTCACTGCCAGGGACAAACACAGAGCTACAGAACATTTTAATACAAACAGTCCAATTTCACAGACACAAAAATATTCATATACTCATTTTTGTTGTTTGCCTAAGGTCATATTCAGACAGAGGATGAATTTTTATATAATGAGAAGTATTGGCCACATGACATGGACAGGGAAGTGACATAGAGCAGGTGAATATTACCAGAGTGCACTATAGGTTGACTATGTGGCTCTGATCAAATTCTTCACTGTGTACATACATACATGCCACCAAAGAATAAGATAAACCAGAACACAGCTAATGATGACAAAGAAATAAGGTTGAAACCAATGGAAAATCAAAGTTAATGAAGGAATACAAATACAGCCAAATGTTAAAATAAAAATGAAAGAAAATCTGTCTACCAATGTCAAGCAGCAAAAACAAATCAGAAAAGGGGAGGAACTCACTTTTTCAAGATCTACCTTCTTGGAAAAGTTCTGTTCTCCAACAGCTCAGCCACCAACCAACTCTTCCTCTGTAGTACAAGGACAAAACCCAACCCTCTATAGTGCCTTATATGGACTGGGTTCTGGTGTACTTCACAATGACTCACATGCAATGGGCTATTCATGGATCAGCAAAAGCCACAGCGTTTTCTTTCCCCCTCTCACTTTCTACCCTGAACAACTATACTAATTTTTCTCATGGCTGTGATCAAATAGCTTAATTAATTAATTAAATAAATAAATTTAAAAATTTTATGTGCATTTGTGTTTTGCCTGCATGTCTGTTTGTGTGAGGGTACTAGATCCTCTGGAACTGGAGCTACAGATAGTTGTGAGCTTCTGTATGGGTGCTGGGAATTGAACCCCAGGTCCTCTGGAAGAGCAGCCAGTGCTCTTAACCACTGAGCCATCTCTCCAGCCCCCTCAAATAGCTTTTAAGGATTTACTTCTGAGCAGGGAGCTTCTTTAACCTCAGATTTACAAGGCAACATAATGGAGAAGTTGGTAGGATAGACATCAGGAGTATATCATAGCATAGATAAAACACCTCCCCTGCCCCCCCAGAGAGAGAGAGGGAGAGGGAGAGAAATAGAGAGATAGAGAGAGAGACAGAGACAGAGACAGAGAATTATCAGATCCTGATCCTGAAGGACTTCTTACTCTCTTACAACCCTAGCTCTTCACACAGGGCTAGGTGTCAGGGGTAGCAATGTAGTCCCACCCTTAAAGCCAAAACATACACAACAATGGCTACTTTTCAGATCCTGCTAGGAATCCCCTCTATTCCAACAATGCCACACACCCAGAAGTAGGTGTCAGGTCCTAGTAGGAACTACTCCCCTAAATCCATAGCTCCATCCAAAGACCTAGAGAAAAAGTAATGGGACCTCACAGCCTGGCGAGGGTTCCTACAGGTCTGCATTCATGATTGTTTGCTTATGTACATGTGTGTGCATGCATGTGTTTGTGTGTTTATGTGTGTGAACCTGTTGTTTGGTGTGGGGGGAAGGGATACCTAGCCGATCCTAAAGCCTAACCATGTTTGTGTGTATAGAACTTTGGTTGAAAGGGTAGAGATAAATACCAGAACCTGTCTCTTGCCTTATGTGAATATGGGGTGTTGTGTCATGGGTGTTTTCCTGTAGGTCAGGGGGTTCCTAGCAGGATGTGATACCTACCCTTTGTGTGAGACTTTAACTGTATGACCATGGATCTCTAGGAGGACATGATACCGAAGCATGAAAGAGGAATGTTGGTAGTAGGGATGGGTGCACCTAACAAGCTGATACCTAGCCCTGTTTGGAAGGCTTTGGCTTTCAAGCAGTTGGAAATGTAACAAGACCTGCCACCTGGCTGCACGTGTGTGTGTGTGTGTGTGTGTGTGTGTGTGTGTGTGTGTGTGTGTGTAGGTGAGTGTAACAAGACCAGACTACTACCAGCTATGTGTCCAGGGGAGCTTTGCCTGTAGTGGAGGAAATTCTGTTGAGTACCCATCACTCAAAGCAAGTATTTGGGAGTCCTTGCTCTAGGGGAGGGTATACCTAACAGGACAATGACTTAGATGTATTTTCATACGAGGGGGGGGGGAGGGAGGAGAGACAGAGATAGGAGGCGGGAGAGTTTGGCTGTAGGGAAAGGACACCCAGGAGGAGAAGCACCTATTTAGCTAGTTAGCTAGATTAACTAGTTAACCAGTTAATAGATAGGACTTTGTATATCTAGGACCTAGCACCTAGAAGTACATGTGGATTTTTTGCTGTATGGGTGATACCTCTACCTCACAAACTTGACACCTAACAGCAGTATTTCATCTTAGTTTGTGTTTGGAGTATGGAAGCTGAACATCAGGATTTCGGGTGATCGTTGTCTTTGTTTTTCTATATGAAGTTATTGGCCAGGACACTGGAATTCCTAAATGAGGCATTGGACTAAACAATTATAATCCGAAGAGGTGAAAACTCATGATAAGACGATCAGATACCAGGGTGCAGCGTCCTCCTGGATGCAGTTCTGGTCTAGGCTGGCAGCAAGCTTGCAGGGTGTCTTCAGAGCAGGTCCAGGACAGCCTGACAGCTGCAGCTGTGTGGGAGGGGCGGGTCTCAGTGGGGCGGGGTCACTAAAACGGAAACAACTCTTGAAGGAGGTTGTTTACCATTGGTCAGGTGTAGAGGAAGTGCATAAGTGGGAGGTGTTAGAGCAGTGATGTGGCGGAAGCCGGGAGGTCGTATACTGAGGCCAGTTTATTTAGGCGGAGGAGCCAAAACAAGTGTCCATTCTCTTTCGCAGCTCCGGGTCCTGCACGGTGTGGAATCCTGTGCTGCAGATCTGGGTGCGGAGGACACGGCGGGTGCCGCGGGGACCTGAAAACTCTGGAGCCGCAGTCTCCGCGCGTGCGGCCTGGGAAAGTGACAGTCAGCAGTGCAGTGGCGGGAACCGCAGCCCGGCGGCCCTGGAACCTCCCAGGTGAGAGGAGCTGCGGGGCTGGGATCCAGGAGGGAGGGGACCGGGGTGCGAGCAGTTTCTCTGCTGTTCTTAAGGAAGTCGGCTGAGAGATGTTGCTGTGGATGTCTTTCCCTTGTCGGTAAATTTAAAATAATATGACCTGGACCAATCCTGATTCTTTTTCATTGATTTTTCTGTTTGCCAAGATATTCTTGCAACAATACTCTAGTAGAATATTTTAATTTATCTGTTGATAATTGCAAACGCGTTTCTATTTGCTATGATGTATAGGTAGAGTTCTTGAAATGCATATTCATCATTCTATCTTCCCTGTTAAGTCACGTACCTAGTCAAGACAGTGGCATATTGACCTGAGGAATTGGCATCCCTGGAGAGCTTTTAGATATCACTCATGAAAGGACTGCTTGCAGATTTGACTGATTCTATACATACATACATACATACATACATACATACGTATACATTTGCGAGGTCTATAGTTACCGTTGTAAATAATAACATTTAGAAAGTAAACACTATCCATCATTAATTTTTCATTTGAGACATGTGCACTCTGTGATGTAGATGCAACATTCTGAGAAGTGTCTTTGCCAGGCCTAGTGGCACAGGCCTTGAGTACCAGTTCTCTGGAGGCAGTGGCAGGCAGATCTGAGTAACTTTTAGGCCAGCCTAGTATACATAGTGAGTTCCAGTACTTCCATAGCTGTATTGTGAGACCCTGTCTCACAAATAAACAAAAAATGAAATGTGTCTTCTTGTTCTGAGTTCTGAATGTTGTACCTAGAGTCTGGAAAACACAGTGTGCAGTTTGAGGCTATCAGGTCATGGTATTTTCAATTAGAAAAGACATTATGAGTCAGGTGGTGTTGGCACAGGACTTTAATCCCAGCATTTGAGAAACAGAGGCAGGTGGATCTCAGAGTTCAATGTTAGCCTGGTCTACAAGAGCATGTTTCAAGAAAGCAGGGACTACACAAAGAAATAATGTATTTAAAAAGACAAAGAGGGAAAAAAAGAGAGAGCATTATAATATAGGATAATATTAGAATGCATCTTTTTAATAAAAATGATCATTCATCTACACCAGAAAAATGTGTGCCATCGTCATTTGTCTCCTTACTTCCAGAAAACCACTGTGTCCATGGACACATGACTGTTATTGTTTGATTCTTATGTTAGCTTTGTTTGCAGTGTGAACCCACCATGTTGCTCTTTCTGGCCCAAAATTCACCATGTAGACCAAGCTAGACTGGGGCTTACAGAGATCTACGGATATCTGTCTCCCTGATGCTAGGATTAAAGGTGTGTACCAACACAAATGTTGAAACTGTTGTGTTTTATTTTGTGGTCTTTTGACAGACAGTAGTGTTTCTGTGCACTTCTCCCAGGAAGAGGGGCAAATGGATGGACACTGCTCAGAGGGCTTTGTATGGAGAGTGGACGTTACAGAATTGCAGCAGTCTTGTTTCTGTGGGTGAGAATTGTTTGTTTGCAGTCTCCCTTGCTGCCTCTCAGGCAGTTTCTTGGCAAATTACTCTGCAAGTGTGTGAGCTTTGTGTGGATGAGCCTCACAGAGTAGTGCAATTCCCAAGAAGAACAAAGAAAATCTACATGAAATGTTCTCTCTTCTTCCTGTGTGTCCCTTTGGGAGGTGTGAGTCATACATCAATTTTGAACCATGATTAATTCAGAACTTCACTAGTGTATAATATTCTCATTCCAATAATTCAGTTCCTTTTCTACCCCTGAGATTTGACTGAGCTGTGATCAGAAGTACACTAACTGCAAATGCTTTCTAAATATTAAACCATTCTGACTCTGCATGGCAATTGGGGAATCAGTGGTATGATTCTACGTTTTTTTTTTTTTTTTTTTTTTCTCTCTCTTTACTGTGCATAATACTATTTTAGAAACTTGGGTGTTTTCTGAAGATTCTCTTTCTCATGCAGGGCTCATTGATCACCCAGACCTGCTCACCTGTCCAGCAGAACAAAGGGACCTGGAAGGATAGAAGAGACAGTAGCTAAGGATCCAGGTATGGTGGAGGGATTGCATTAGTGAAGGAGTGGAAAGGGGATCTAGTGAATGTGTTAGTGGGACAAGAAATCAGTTTTGTCACATTCTATTTTACTAGAAATAATTCCGGATACTTGCACTGAGAAAAATCTCCTTAGAATTATCCTTTTGTAGGTATGAGAAGAGGTTTTATGGAAGAATTGACACTAGGAGGCAAATAAAATTTTATTTGACTATGCATGTGAGTGATGCTATTCTTATTTATTCACATCACTAATCATGTCATCATAACATTATAAGTGGTTTCCATGTCTATAATTTTAATGTAAAATGATCAAAATTAATTCCGCTAGGTCTGTATATTGTTTTCAGAATTTTGCAGCTTCTAACACATTCTGTTTATGGCTTATTTTTCCATTGCTGAAAGTAATGCCCACAAGGTTTTGAAGGGAATCAGAAAGTATATTTACAAACCCTTATCTACACAGTCTTCTCATGGCTATCTCCTATTATCTGTAGTCATGACAATCCCAAGTGGCTTCCGTTGCTGTAATTGTAATGTACTGTGAGATCACCTCTACGTCAGATCCTCTTATTATTTTCTGGCTCTTTGTCCTTCCTTGGTACTTTCAGTGAAATATGCAAATAGCGTTGTAATGGGAATTACTTGGTGTCTTAGAGAAGACAGACCTCCTTCTAGGTTGTCTTCTCTTGTTTGACAAGAACATGAAGCTATGTGCCAGTTTTCACATGTTTTATGTATCCTGTTTTCTGTCTGCGGTGGATATCTTCGCTCCAGCTTTTGAGACATACACTTATGTTGATTAAAGAACTTGCTTTCTAATAGGTTTTATCATTTGCTAAAACTCTTTATTTTGTTGTTGTTGTTGTTTTTTTTTTAACAGGTTTTATCATTTGCTAAAACTATTTTGTTGTTGTTTTTTTTGGTTTTCTATTTTTTTTATTTTTTTATTTATTGATTTTTATATAACCAAGTCCATTTAAATGAAAACAAACATTTATAGACAGTATTTGGGAATTTGGGCATCGTTCTTTCCAAACTACTTCCTGCTGGTAAGGGGTAGTTTGCATTTTTTAAAACAAACTTAAATCTCTTTAATTTTCATGTATAAAAACTGTTATGTGGTGGCTACAGCTTGTAGCTTGGTTTCTCTGAACCTCTGAGACTCTGGTGTGGATTTTCACAAGATGACCAGTGAATTCCTGATAAGGAGACTTGGTGAACATAGTCTCTTTCCAAAGTTCAGGGATCAGGTCGATGTAGGTTTTGGAGATGGCGTTAAAGGTGGCCTCGACAAAGTCGCCCAAGGTAGCAGGGCAAATCCTGGCTGATATGTTGCTGTCATCAATACTGGCCATAATCAGAAATTTCTCTGGCCCAGGAGCAGAGACAATACCTGTGCCTCTAGGGGGCGGCAGGGATGAGACACCTACACAGAGTCACAGTGGCCTGTCACTTTTTTACCGAACAGTGTAGGGCTTGCCAGTCTTCTTCCCCCAGTGGCATCTTCATACGGGACAATGGAAAGCTTGGCCAAGATGATGGGTCCTAGGACACCAGTGGCTACCTCCATGGAACACTTGACACCAGGACCAACGTGACCATTGTAGTCCCCAATAGTGAAAAAAAAAGGCTTGAAACTGGCCCGCTGCCCAGCCGGTGTCTGCTTCTCACTGGTGTGATCATTAAACCTCATCCTTTAGTAGTGATGCACCCAGGAAAAAGTCAGTAATCTCAGATTCCTTAATGGCAGGGAGAATGGGTAGATCTCCTCCAGGGACTTTATCTTCCCCTGTCCTTTATCATGCACTTAACAAGGCAGCCTGGGTTGGTGAAGCTTTTGTCTTGATTTTTCTGTTGCTGTTTTAATAATGATCATCGATCTTCTTTACTTCTGTCCTTGTTGGTGATATTTAAAAAAAAAAAATCCTACTTTCTCAGTTTGTTATATATTTAGACATGAAATGAATTTTTGGGTGGAAAATAAATGTTTTAATTTCAACTGTCATTTTTTCTATTTTATTTGTGTGTGTGTGTGTGTGTGTGTGTGTGTGTGTGTGTGTGTGTGAATGCTATAATATGTTTACATCATTTCATTTGCTTAGGGAATATTATCTACTGAGATTTCAAGAAATTACTGAAACTAATGCATGTTGTTTAGGAACATGAGTGTGGAAGCTGACTAGGGAGATTTGGCATGTCTGTATACTAAATTTACTTTATTTTATGACCTACAATGTAGGACTTTCTGACATGTACATATTGGCTCTTTCAGCTGTACTTGAGGTGTGTTCAAATCATTTTCTCACTTATTAATTATATTATCATTTTCTTCCTTTCTGTTTTTTGATTGTGTTTTATCCATTGTACTATAAATAGATAGATAACAAAAATAATTGCTGCATAAGCTATCTCTTCATACTTTTAATTTTTACTTTTCCCTGAATTTTTTTTTTTTCTTTTATGAAGTACTATTCTTCTGTTCCTGCTCTTATATCAACTGTTGCTCCATGGTGTTACTTTGCAGGATTTTGGATTGGACACCTGGTCTAATTCTTTTCCTTGGGTCTTTTCATGTGGTTTAATATTTGTTCTCTCACAGCTTTCAGTATTAATGTTTGCACTTTCTTTTTGACCCCTTATATGAAAGGACAGCAAGACATCCATTCCTTATTCCTGAAATAGAAAGTCAAAGAAGAGAAACAGTAAGAAATGGCTGATTCTGCAGTTAATCTGTCCCAGGTCAGTGGTCATTTCCCCCTTTTTTGTAGAAGTGCTATAGTTTCAGACATCAGAAGCCTTTAATTTTCTGATTCTGATTTTTTTCAGCTTTACTATGAAAAATGTTGCAAACAAACAAACAAAACTCACACACTGAAATTAACCAGACCCAAAGACTGTGTAATTTAGTGTACTTTATACAATTAGTCATTGGGAACAGAAACTTTGTAGCCTCACATTTGATTTTATAGTTTCCAATATTCAGTGTATTTTGATGTACTTATCTGCCATCAAAAATCAAAAAATGTGTGACAGAATCAGAAATAAAAAAGCTCTTTGCTTTACATCCTTTTTCATAACTCCTATTATTTAACCTTTCTTGTTCTCTTTTCTCCATATTCTGCTGTGCCCACATGTCTGTTGTTTCCAGGAACACATTTTAATGCTTGATTCTCTATATATGGAAAAATGTGGTACTGTATGGCCTCTCTTACAATTACACATTTTGATTCCATCCATTCTCCTGCAGATTTTTATTACACTTTTTTCTTCAGGTGAATAGTATTCCATTTTATATGTATACCATTTTCATTGTCCATTCATTGGGGATAGAGAATTATGTTGATTCCAATTCTTTGCTAATGTGAGTACAGCAGCATTAACCATGGGGTGTAAATATCTCTGTAGTGAGGTGTAGTGTTTTCTGGGTGTATGCCCAGGTGTGAAAGAGATGGGTCCTGCTTTAGTTATGTCTCTAATTTTTTTTTTAATAATCTTTAGACTGATTTACATTTTTGCGTGTTAATTTGCAGCTTCCTCCCACCCACCCACACCAGTAATGAATAAGGCTTCCTTTTAATGTGACCTAGGAAAAAAGTGTGTTCTCTAAAAGCAAGGAAATCAAACCAAGGGTTGCTCTTTACTTAGGTTCAATGTGTTTAAGAAAGGTGCTATCACAGCAAAGAGATAGCATCTAAAGTCCTGAGATTGGCTCACACAGGAAGGGGATTACATATGAAGTTGCTCAGTTTGGCTCACAGCTAGAGCCATGTCTGTTATTTCAAGAAAATTTTTTTTTGAAAAAAATTGTGGTATAGCTCAAGCTAACTGCTTTTCTTTGACACTTTTAATCTGCTTGCCTTCTCTTGTTTGCTTATAAACATTTATCTAAGAGACTGATGGTCTCTGCAGATGACATGCATTTCTTTCTTTAGTAGAAGAGCTGCCTGATCATCAGATAATAAACTCTTGAGGCTTTACCATCTGGTCTTCATTCTCTTATTAGGTTTGGGTTCAGAATTCAGCCTATTATATTTGGAGGTCCCACTGAAATCCCTGTATCTTGAATTAAATGTACATGGCCCTAGGGCCTTCTTACCTTCTGGAAGCCAGTTAGTCAGGGGAGATCTCTAGAGAGAGATTCCTCTGCCCTGGTCCTCCAAACCCCTAGAAGTCATTCTGGTAACTTTCTGGAGTTTAAGTTTCCGGGGTATACCATCGGGGTCAGCACAGCAGGCTGTAAACAGCCATACTCTTTGTAGTCAGGGGTCCTCAGAGATGTCCAAGGAACTCTTGGTCTATTGTTGTCTTTTGTGAATTCCTCTGTCTTTTAATTGTCCTTTGTAGTTTCACACACACACACACACACACACACACGCACGCGCGCGTGTGTTCCCCTATCTCAAATATGGGACAGATCAGAACTCTTGTCTGACCCCATTAGAATATATGTTAGATAACTTTTCCACCTTTAGGGCCAGAGCCAAGAGTTTTGTTTGTCCTCCAAAAGAGTCATGCTTGTGAACACTCTGAAGTTTAATGGCCTAGTTTTTGTATAAATTGGCCTCCAGAAGGATCCTTTGATTTGGTTCTGGGTTATAAAGTCAGTGTCTGTTGCTTAAAGAGTCATCCTGATTAGGATGACCTTATTTTCTAACCTGGGGCAGATCTCTTAGAAACTTCCCTTTCATTTCTGAGAAAGTGCCAAACCTCATATTCCATTCTCCTCATAAAACCAGGGCCCTGACCACCCATCCTCAAGAATGCCCTGCACTTCTGCTACCTGGGGCTCCTCCATCTCTCCTTTCCTCCAAGTCTGGTTCTTCCTACTACCCCTGGGGTCCCCTTTCTTTCCCCTCCCTCCTCCACTTGTAAGAGGCACCGCCAACTGCAGAGCCCTTAGCTGTTGAAGAGGAAGCACCCCAAAGCCCACAATCTTGTATGGTTTTATGTTCCCTTTTCTACCACTTAACCTTTAAAATTGATAACTCTCTTTCTCTGAGGACCCTCAGGATCTCATCTCTCTTATAAACACAATCTTGTCTATACACAAACCCACCTGGTAAGATTGCCAGCAGCCCTTGCAGGTCCTATTTATTTCAGAGGAGGCAGGTTGGATCCATATTGAGGCTCAAAGTATGTTCTGGGACAGGATGGATTGCCTGATGCCAACATGACTGAGTTTGAACTTAAGTCTGTTGGAAATTTCATTGTATATATATCACCCTCAAAGCTCAGGAAAGGTATAGAGGATGAATGAAACCTTAAAAGAGATTCTTGCCAAATTGATTGTGGAGACAGGTGATAACTGGATAAGTCTTCTCCCATTTCCCCACTTAAGTGCCTGATGTACCCCCTATGGACTCCCTTTGAGATTATGTTTGGAAGGCCTCCCCGCATTATTCCAAAGCTAGAAATCAGACCATCTAGAGTCACTAACCAAGAACTTCAAATTCTTACAGGCACTCCAGGCAGTCTTGCCCAACATCTGTGAGACTGTCAGAGAGAACCAGCTACCCTGCCAGAACAGATACCCACCAGATGAGCCAGAGATACAACCTGTTGATTGGGTTTGGGTCAAGAAATATATGGCCCAGCAGCTAGGAGGAAAGTGTACTGGACTGTTCCAGGTGATCTTGGCCACACCTACTGCTGCTAAAGTAGCTGACAAGTCTTACCGAGTTCAGCAGAATGATCTAAAGCCAACAAAACTTGAACGTGTACCCCAGGAATGTGTGGTAAGGACACTGGGACCTACCAAGGTACAATTAACCAGGCAGGCCAAAGACCCATGGTAATGCTTGTCTTTCTCCTGACCTCTCTCCCCCTACCCAGCTTAGGGGCTCATATACCCACCTATCATGACAGGAGACTCACCCGAAAATCTGATGGAAAGATTTTAGACAGTACCACCTCCCCATTTCCCATGACAGACTCCTTCTCTGACTGTAAATCTCGGAGACCTAGTAGAAGGTTATGAACATACCACAGGGTTGCAACATATGGCTAATTGTGAAAAATTAAAAAGAGGTATGGTAGTTTACCCTGGCCCCTCATATAGAATACCCCCTTGTGAGGGGGAGGGTGAATGGCTCTGGGGGGGGGGATGGGGATGTGAGACATTGGCTTCCTGGGTTAAACCCAAAAATGAAGGCTATTGGCTATGATTATACATATCATCAGCTTCAGGAAAAAGTGTCTTGACTGTTATTGTTGCCCAAATATGGGAGGCAGGGAAAACATGGGGCCTCTGACTATACGTTTTAGAACTAGACAATGACAGTGACTGTTGTTGGAGTTTCTTGTCCCACTAAGACCTGTGCCCTTTAGCCCCAGATACAATATTAATTATAAAACTACTGGCCAGTGGCTAGGGCTTCTTACTGGCTAGCTCTGTCTTAATTATTAATCCATTTCTATAAATCTATGTTTCCACATGGTCTGGTCTTAATGCAGAATGCCTGGACCTGTTACTCCGTCTTTAGCTACATGGTGTCTCTTCGAGGTCTCTCTCTGACTTCCTTTCCCAGAATTCTCCTCATCTCCTAATCCCACCTATCTTCCTACCTCTATTGGCCGAACAGTGTTATATCCATCAACCAATAAGAGAAACATATAAACAGAAAGATATCCCCCATCAAATGAGTTTACTGTTTAATGGTCTCAGCCCAAGCAACCAAAATTGTCAATGGGCACGATTAGGTTATCAGTCCAATAATCCATCTTGGGTGCCCTCACCCAAGAGAGGACTGGGCACCTCCCACATGTTAGGCTACTTGTTAAGACATCTAAAGAAAGCTATATCTTGAAATTCTTGACGGTCCTAAGTGGAACTAACTATAATGCCACTGCTGACTGCTGGCTTTGCATTAAGTCTTGGCCCCCATACTATGTAGGTATAGCCTTCCTTTTTTCTCAGGGAAACCAGCCTTCTGATATCAGAAAAATCACTGTTGATGAGCTGAAACCCAGCAATGCTCATGGACCAAGGATCTCCCTCTTTAATGCAAGGAGAACTCAAAGGAAAAGGTACCTGTTTTCACTCAGAATACGTAATTTGAGCACCCTGGTTTCTAGTTCAGATGCAGGGCATGTTTTAACTTTGTAGTCCCTCCTCCCAGAACATAGGTTCTGATTCATATATAAGACAGGGTTGAAACCATGTGCCAGCCTAGTCACACTGGTTTCTACCCCTGACCTGTGCATCCTTGTGGACTTCACCAGTTCTTCTACTTTTTAGGAGGCGGTCTAGAACATATCTTCCCCGCAAGGAGATAATCAAGCGCCTTCTGAGCTATTCTCATGCCAGTCTTAGTTGGGCTTGGGCTAGCTGGGTTGATAGCCTTTAAACTGCAGCTTTTGTAAAGGAGACTGATAGACTGAGACATGTCCAAACTGGAAAAGTATCCCTCGTTTGATTGAATCCCTGACTCCCTAGCACAGATGCTTCTCCAACATAGGACAGGCCTGGATTTACTATGCCTCCAGCAAGGAGGCTTGTGTATGGCTTTAGGGAAATAGTGTTATTTATGTGCTAATCATTGGGTATAATTAGAGACAACCTCATTCTGTCCAAAAAAAGAAGACATGGAATAAACAAGGTAGGTTTCCTAACTGGTTTGTATCCTGTTTCTCATGGTCCCCCTGGCTAACAACTCTGGTTGCAGGTATTGTTTTACCGTTACTATTACTGTGTTCTCAACCGTTTTGCCAGCTTCAAGAAACAAAGGATAAATACTGTTAAAATTAGTGGTTCTTAAAGCCCAATGTGAAGGTTTCAGCCAAGATTCAAGGGTTTGAATACTTTCAATGAGAGTGGAGAATGATGTGACCCAGGAAAAATGTATTCTCTAGAGTAGAGGAAACCAACCCAAGGGTTAAATTCTTCTTTACCTATGTTCAATGTGTTGTAAAGAAGGTGTTGTCACAGGAAAGAGCACCTGAAGTACTTCAGACTGGCTCATACAGGAAGGAGATAACATACGAAGTTGCTCAAGCTGGGTCACAGCTGGAGCCATGTCTGTTATTTCAAAATTTTCAACAGTTTTGTGGTATAGCTCAAGTTAACTGCTTTTCTTAGCCCTTCTAATCTGCCACCTTGCTCTTGACTTGACCAGAAACAAGATTTATATAGTGAATGAATGTTTTGTGCAGATAGAGTACATTTCCCTGTGGAGTAGAAGTGCCACTGTCTATCAGGTAAACTCTTGAGGATTTACTATCTGGTGTTCATTCTCTCATTGGGTTTGGGCTTACTTTTCAGTTCATTACACTTTCTCTCCTCATTCTCTCTAACATTTGTTGTGAGATTAGTTGGTAACAGCCATTCTGCCTGGAGAGAAGCAGTACTTCAAAGTAGTTATTGTTTGCATTTCTCTCTTGGTGGTTTAGTAATCCTGGGGTCATTTGTGTTTCTGTCTTTGAAAAGTGTCTATTCAGTTCATTTCCCCATTTGTTGATTGGTAGTTTTGTTTCCATGTTACTTAATTTCTGTATTTCTTGGTGAATTCTAGATTTGAGCCCCTATCTAAAGTGTCACTGCTACAGATTTTCTCCCACTCTGTGGGACATCTGTGTGCTCTGCTGATTGTTCTCATTGATAAGCAGAAACTCTTATTTTCATGTAGTCCCATCTATTGATACATGGGGTTAGTTCCTAGGCTGTTGGTGTTCTTTCTATTTAGAAAGTTTCTTGCCCACAAACAATATAAAATATCTTGGGGTAATGCTTATCAAACAAATGAAAGACCTATATAGCAAGAACTTTGTGTCTTTAAAGAAAGAAATTAAAGAAGATACCAGGAAATGGAAAGATCTCCCATGCTCTTGGATAGGTAGGATCAATATAGTTAAAATGGAAATCTTGCTGAAAGCAATCTACAGATCAAGGCAATCCCCATTAAAATCCCAACACAATTCTTCACTGACCTTGAAAGGATAATACTCAACTTTATATAGAAAAACAAAAGGCCCAGGATAGCCAAAACAGCCCTATACAGTAAAGGAACTTCAGAAAGCATCACCATCCCCGATTTTAAGCTCTACTATGGAGCTATAAGTCCTGAAAACAGCTTGGCAATGACACAAAATAGACAGGTAGACCAATGGAATCGAATCGAAAATCCTGATATTAACCCACACACCTACGAACACCTGATTTTTGATGAAACAGCTAAAAGTATACAATGGAAGGAGGAAAGCATCTTCAACAAATGGTTCTGGCACAACTGGATGATGGTGTGTAGAAGACTGCAGATAGATTCATGTCTATTGCCATGCACAAAACTCAAGTCCTGATGGATCAAAGACTTCAACATAAATCCAGCCACACTGACTCTCTTAGAAGAGAAAGTGGGAGGTATCCTTGAACAAATTGGTACAGGAGACTGCTTCCTGAACATAACTCCAGTAGCACAGACACTAAGATCAACAATTAATAAATGGGACCTCCTCAAATTGAGAAGCTTCTGTAAGGCCAAGGACACAGTCAACAAGACCAAACGGCAGCTCACAGACTGGGAAAAGATCTTCACCAACCATACATCTGACAGAGGGCTGATCTCTAAAATATACAAAAAAACTCAAGAAACGTAGTCACCAAAACAACAAACAACCCTATTAAAAATGGGGTACAGAACTGAAGAGAGAATTCTCAATTTAGGACTCAAAAATGGCTGAAAGACACTTAAGAAAGTGCTCAACATCCTTAGCCATCAGAGAAATGCAAATCAAAACAATTCTTAGCTACCATCTTACTCCTGTCCAAATGGCTAAAATCAAAAACACCAATACCAGTTTATGCTGGAGAGGATATGGAGAAAGGGGAACACTCCACCACCACTGGTGGGAGTGCAAATTCAAACAGCCACTTTGGAAATCAGTATGGCGGTTCTTGAGGAAATGGGAATCTATCTACCACAAGATCCAGCAATTCTACTGTTAGGCATATACCCAAAAGATGCACATTCATGCAACAAAGACATCTATTCAACTATGTTCGTAGCAGCATTATTTGTAATAACCAGAACCTGGAAGCAACCTAGACATCCCCCAACTGAAGAAGGGATAAAGAAAATGTGGTACATTTACACAATGGAATAGTATGCTGTGGGAAAAAAAAAAAAACAAAAAACAAAAAAACAATGGAATCTTGAAATTTGCAGGCAAATGGATGGAACTAGAAGAAACCATCTTGACTGAGGTAACCCAGACATAGAGGAAAGTCTCAACAGCCTACAATCCATACCTCCAGAGAAGCTAGGAAGCAAGGAGGACCTTAAGAGAAACATACTTGGTCTCTCACAGAAGGGGAAGGGACAAGATCTCTTGAGCAAATTGGGAGTGGGCGGAGGAGAAGAAATTAGGAGAAGAGAAAGGGAGAATAGGAGTGGGGAGGAGAACATGAGGGAGCAGTAAAATTGAGTTAGGGGAAGAATAGAAAAAAAAGGAAAAAAAATACCATAATAGAGGGGTCCATTATAGGTTTAAAGAGAAATCTCACACTAGGAAAATGTTCAGAGACCTACAAGGATGACCCCAACTAACAATGTGAACAACTGTGGAAAAGCTACCTAAAATGGCCTTCAATGATAATGAGATTGATGACTACCTTATATGCCATCATAGAGCCCTTATCCAGTAGTTGATGGAAGCAGAGGCAGACACCAACAGCTAAACACTGAGACAAACTCCTGGAATCTATTTGCAGAGAGGATGAGCAGAAGGGTCAGGACCAGGTTGGAGAAACCCACAGAAACAGCTGAACTGAACAAAGGGGAGCTCATGGACCCCAGACTGATAGCTGGGAAACCAGCATAGGAGTGACCCAGACCCCTTGAACATTGGTTTCAGGAGGCCTGGGAAGTCTATGGTACCTCTGACAATGGAATCAGAATGTATCCCTAGTGCAGGAACTGGCTTCAGGAGGCCATTTTCCTGGAGGGATACTCCCTTGGCCTAGAGACATGGTGGAGGGCCTAGGCCCTACTCCATGATTTGACTGACTTTGATGATCCCTCATTGAAGGCCTCACTCTCTGGGGAGTGGATGTGATGGGGGGATGTGGGTGTCATGGGAGGGAGAATGAGAAGTAGAGGGACCTGGGATCAATATGTAAAATAACAAAAAATATTAAAACTTAAAAAGGAAAAAAATCTACCTAAATTAGCAGTATCTTTTAAAGAACAAATAAATATGATGTCAGCATGGAGAGTCCTGGGAACCCAATTGCTACACACCAATTTCCGGTATCATTTTTCCACCGACACTGCTGCAGCCACCATTGGTGTCCTTATGCTTCTTCTGGGCATTCAGATTCTGTATCTGAATGTACCATTCCTTTGCTTCTCAGCCTTTGTTAGTGGTGGAAGATATGGTGGTTGCCATGAGTCCTTCGAGGCTGACCCCTTTCACGGTGATGATGGCTTCCTGGGTCAGGACAGTTATTTCTGGGTCCTGGGGGTGTGGCTTGTATGTGAGTGTCTCATCTACTGAGACCATATTTGTAAATGAGATGTTGGTGTACTTGAGCTCCATTGTCTTCATTACTGGATTAACCACAGAATGTTCCTGCACATATTTTCATTCTTGCTATACCAATAAGAGACTTCACAATGGAAGGTAGGCCCCACTCTGTGCTGAGCAGTCTGCCTGTGCAGCTTCAGAGGTTTCAACATGCCTGTCTAAAACATCAATGCAGACCATGCTTGAGTTCATGGGGTTTGGGTATTTCTGCATTGTGGCCATGGTACCCATTCCCCATTGTTGGTCAAAGACATGCTCCAAAGTCCAGATCTTCATGGTGCCAGCCTCCTGCCCATTGTCCTGCAGCATCCTGGAACCATAAGGCACAGAGGTTCACAGGCCCTGATCAGTCCAGGCCAACTGAAAAGACCATATTTTTTAATGTATCTTTTGTCTCCTTTGCCAAATATTAAGTGGGCCTGGGTTAATGGTTTTCTTTCTGGGGGCTCTATCACATTCTCTTAACCTACAATAGTGCAGATTTTCTCTTGGGCCATTTTTTGAGCTACATTGCAAAGCTCTGAAAAAGAACTAGAATTCTCAGACAATTTAATATATCCTTTTATTGGCAGAAAATCTGTCATTTCTGAATATATCCACACTTATAGCTTCTATATATTTTTAGAAAATTTTGGATTATATTAAATATGGCTGATGCTGATTTTTCTACCTACTTGGTAGTGGCCCAATATTCTCATAGAATTAATTCCATATACTACTTGATTTTATATGTTAAAGTTAAAATTAACAGTATACAGTGTTGTTATGTTCCTTTTTACTGTGTTAAAAAACTCCAGACCCTTTACCTATCTAGTTAATCATAAATTTTGCCTTCTTTATCTAGCCCTTTGCTCTTTAATGGTGTGACGTTAGACTAGAGTCTAAACATGAACTGAGCCTGTTACAATGGAATCATATAAGGCCCTAGAACAGACAGGATGATTCAATGTCAATATTTTAGCATGTACTTCAGGCATAACATTTCCAAGCACATTTCCTCATAAATTTTCTTTCTGATACATGTTCACTGTGATCCTTTGCAATTTAACACAGCATCCATAACAGACAGATAACTGTGTCCAGACTTTAAATTTGTATTATTTCATGTATATTGCTTGTGATATTGTTGTGTCATCCCGTTTTCACAAAGTTAGAAAACCCATTATAATGTGACTATATTAGAAATCATCTTTTTGAGTAATTATCTTCACTCATCTCATTCCCTAATTTCCTTAAGTCTCCTAATATCCAGGAAAGCACTCTGTCCAGTAGAAACACAAACTACTTTTTGTTTCAGGCTCTGTTGACATTCAGGGATGTGACTGTGGACTTCTCCCAGGAAGAGTGGGAATGCCTGAACTCTGCTCAGAGGACTTTATATATTGATGTGATGTTGGAGAATTACAGCAATCTGCTCTATGTGGGTAAGAACATTTTGCTTATAGAATTCCTAAGTCAGGTTTTGTATGTACTGACTCTCTATGTTGTGAACACTCTATTAGGCTGTCTTGGAAACAACAGGAGACTAGGGAATGCTTGACAGTAGAAACTTTTTCTTGGTGTGTTTTTCTATCTCTTCTCCATTTTATAGTTGTCATGCATCCTTCATTTGGGTTCTGTGATACATTCAGAAGCCCAGTAGCATATAATGTTTCTACTCATTATCTTAAAGCTCCATGTCTATCCTTGCACTTGTCATTGTTATATTTGTGACAATAATTCAGGATAGGCAAATTGCAAATTCCCCCTAAACATGCTGAAGATTCTGACAGAAATATCAATTGGGAAATCATTTCTATATTCCTCTCTTTATATACTGAGAACAGTACTGTGTTAGACATCTGTATTCTTTCTAAAAGTTCTACCATGAGTCATGGGCTATCTCACAGAACACATGTATGCAAGGTAGGCCTGATACCTGTCTGAAACAAATGAGATTCCCCTGGAATATGGAGAGGAGAGTGTGGAGGATGTGTTAGGGAATGAGCAGGACAACAGTGATGGGTTCAAGTAAAAGAGCAAGAAAGAACTAACAATGCTTTTACAAATTCAGTTCCACTTGAAAAGATTTTTGATAATTGAATTTACTATAGTGTCCTGACCCAGGGATTCATCCTTCCTGTTGTAATCTGTTGTAATTATATATACATAATACATACATACATACGTATATTCCTTTTGTTTTTTTGGTTTTTTGTTTTGTTTTGTTTTTGTTTTTTGTTGTTTTTTGAGACAGGGTTTCTCTGTGGCTTTGGAAGCTGTCCTGGAACTAGCTCTTGTAGACCAGGTTGGCCTTGAACTCACAGGGATCCACCTGCCTCTGGCTCCCAAGTGATGGGATTAAAGGCATGCGCCACCACCTCCCAACCTCCTGTTGTGATTATTAGAAGATGTGTTTTATTGCACCTGAATTATGGTATGACTTTATACAAGTACAAAATACAATTTTATTTGACTATTCTGGTGTCAGGTTGAAATAATTTTATAAATTTCCAAGTTTAACAAGAGTAAATGAGGTAAGATTATTCTGTAATTACCTTCCTTGCATGCATCAATGGTGGATAGAAATTAACACTAGCTTCCCATGATAGTCCTGCTGCTAATGATCAAGAGCAGTGGTTCTCAACCACGTTACAACTCTTTTAATAGAGTTTCTTATGTTTTGTTGACTCCCAATCATAAAATTGTTTTTGTTGCTAATTCTTGACTGTAACCGTTCCTACTCCATCCCTACTAAGTGATGCTTCAGTTCCTAAACCATTGGAAATAATGTATATTCAGACAGTCATGATCCACAGGTTGAGAACCAGTGACTTGGAGCTTCTGATGTGATACTTGCTTTGCATCTTTTACTTTTGAAGAATCTAACATGTTATTTAGGAAAACAATATAAACCCTTTAATGTTTTCCAATAAACCTTTAATCTTAAAAGGAATTGGGTATTGCTATACATTAGTAAGTAAACATTGTGAACCTGGGATTGGATTAACTCTTCTTTATCAACTTCTGAGAAAAAAGAAACTTTAAAAATAGCAACATATATTCTAAATATAATCAGTCAGTAAACTCCCCAAGCTAATTAATAATTCCTCAGTTACCTGCTTCAATTTCCTTGAAGACTATCACTCTGTTTTTGTAAAAATCCATAAATTACAGTGATTTAAAAAAGTTGATTGTTGTAAGCTCTATTCTAAATAGTTGCTAAATGATTTATCATAAGAGAGAACTTATGGAGAGAATCATGTATCAAATGTTTAATCTTTGAACAAACCCTATTAATCTGAACTGTACTCATTTTCAGAGAACTATTGCATATGTGATCCTGTCCATCAACATGTGAAGACAGAAAGGGAGTCTTGTCAGTGTGGTGAGCTTGGGAAAATGCTTCATGACCCCTCCAAATGTGCACCTTATAAAACAAGTAAAACTCCAGAGAACTCTAATAACTATACATATAGTAATCACAGGGATGCCTCTCTTGACTTATCAAACCCAGATAGACATGAAAGCATGCACACTGGAGAAGAACCTTCCAAATCTAAAGACTGGGAGAAATCTTTAAATTTGTTTTCTAGTATTACTCAAGATCAGAGAGTCTACACTGCAAACAAAGTGCACAGGCAGGGAGAATATGATGAACATTTTGGCTCTACATATAGTTGTTTGCAACAGAAATTCTACATTGGAGAGAAACCACACCAGTGTGGGAAATGTGGGAAATTCTTCAGTACTGCCTTAAGCCTCACTGTACATCAGAGAGTTCATACTGGAGAGAAGCCTTACAAATGTCAGGAATGTGACAAATGCTTTACTGTGAAGTCAACTCTTACAAAGCATCAAAGAATTCATACTGGAAAGAAGCCCTACAAATGCAATGTTTGTGACAAATCCTTTACCCAATGCTCAAGTCTGAAAACACATCAAAGACTCCATACAGGTGAGAAACCTTACACATGCAGAGAATGTGGAAAGTCCTTTCATCAGTCCTCAGCACTTAAAAGCCATCAGAATATGCATACGGGAGAGAAGCCTTACAAGTGTAAGGAATGTGACAAATCCTTTGCCCACTATTCTAACTTCAGGAGACATCAGAAAATCCATACTGCTGAGAAACATTATAGGTGCCAAGAATGTGGTAAAGTCTTTCATTGGCTTTCACACTTAAGAAGACATTACAGACTCCATACTGGAGAGAAGCCGTACAAATGCAATGAGTGTGATACTTCCTTTACCCACTATTCATCATTTAGAAGGCATCAGAAAACTCATTCTCTTGAGGAAATGTACAAATGTAAAGAATGTGGTAAGTCCTTTCTTGACTTATCACATCTTAAAAGGCATTACAGAATCCACACTGGTGAAAAGCCTTACAAATGTGAGGTATGTGAAAAATCCTTTACCTTGAACTCAACTCTTAGAAGGCATCATAAAATTCATACTGGAGAGAAACCTTACAAGTGTGAGGTATGTGACAAATCCTTTTCTGTGACCTCAAATCTTAGAACTCATCAGAAAATTCATATTGGAGAGAAACTTTACCAATGTAGGCAATGTGACAAATCCTTTATTCAGGACTCATATCTGAAAACACACCAGAGAATTCACACTGGTGAGAGACCTTACAGATGCAGAGAATGTGGAAAATCATTTCATCAGTTGTCAGCACTTAAACGCCATCAGAAAATGCACACAGGAGAGAAGCCTTACAAATGTAGGGAATGTGACAAATCTTTTACCCAGGATTCACATCTTAGAACACATCAGAGAATTCATACTGGAGAGAGACCTTACAGATGTAATGAATGTGAAAAATCTTTTACTGAGTGCTCAACTCTTAGACAGCATCAGAAAATTCATACTGGAGAGAAACCTTACAAATGTATGGAATGTGACAAATCCTTTTCACGTAACTCACATCTTAGAATACATCAGAAAATTCATATTTTCTAGAGACCTTTAAATGCAAAGAATATGACATCCTTTATCCTGATTGGAACCTTCGAAGACATAAGAAAATTCAAATTAGAGGGAAAAAAATACCATTGCAAATAATGTGACATAGCTTTATCTGGAATTTTCTTCTTAGAAATCACAATAATGGAAACAAAGATAGAAAACTTGTGAATGTTTTTAATGAAGATCTAAATCTTATAAATTGCAGTGTTTATATGAAAATAAAATTCTATGGATAAAGTGGGGGTTTTTGTTGTTTTTGTTTTTTGTGTTATTGCATTGTATGTATTTATATGCACTACATGTAAGCATGGAGCCTGGAGAGGTCAAAAGATGTCATCAGATCCTCTAAAGCTGGGTTAACAGAAAATCGTGACCTGCTATATATGTTTAGAATTGAATACCAGTCTTCTGGAAGAGTGGCCAGTACTCCTAACTACTAAACCATATCTCCAGCCCCATGTAAAAGGTGTGATAAAAACAATTATTGTGTTCAACTCTAAAAATTTATAATAATAGTTGATGTGGTGGGGCAAACCTTTAATCCCAGCACTCAGGAGGCAAACCTGAACACCTCTGTGTCAAAAGCCATTCTGGTCTACACAGTGAGTTCCAGAACAGCAAGGATTACATAAACACTGTCTAAATAACAACAAAAAAAAAATCATAAGACAAAATGTAGTAACATTTAAAAAAAAAAGGTGACAAAGCCCTATAGTTTTGCTGTACATTGCAAAATTCATAGTTCTGAGGAATCATTTGAAGGTATACCATATATAATCCCCATGTGTGAAATTTCACCCTTGGGATGCATTCAGTTTGATAAATTATTTCCCCAGTGTCAAAATTGCCCACATAATAGTAAATTCAAGGGTTTGAACCAATAGAAAGTCTTTATTAGCCACCAGTGACTACACTGGGTGTTTGAGATCCTATTGTAGTTCCTAGCCTTTCTCGGGGTGAGCTATTAAGCACAAAAACAGTGTTCTGCATTGACCAACTTCATTTAACAAAAACAGCCAGGTGCAAAACTGTGGAAGCTAAAAGGCAAGGTTAGTACGTTTTGAAATTTTCCCAGAACTATATGAACTTTGATGGATTAGGCCTTTGTTTAGTATTTGGCAGGTGGTGGTATCTGTGCTGAGTTTTACAGCCTGGATGATACTTCCATTATGAAGTCAGTTGTGTTAAGGTCTGGGGGCCTACTAAGGTTGGGGCCCTGTTACACTTACTAATAGCAAGAAGGTGAAAAACTATAAAGAGATAGGCTGTGGGTGTGATAACATGGGGATACTTATATACAGCTTGCAAACCCCCAAAAGGCTAAGGTTGTGGTGGTGCATGTCTTTAATCCCAGGACTCTGTAAGCAAAGGCAGACTGTACTGTGAGAAATCCTGTCAAAAAGAAAGCCCCAAGGGCATACAGAAATTCATTTTGAAGAACTAAAGAAAGATGGGGAAGTAAGTATCCACTCTACTCTAAAACAATATAACTTCTTTTAACAGCTACTTGACTCTTGTGGAATGAAAGATTCATAGGACCTCTCTCCCACTTAAGCCATGATGAAATGGTAGTTATCCCAATCACATTCAGTTGCCTGTTCTTATTACTTTCTGAACAGTTAGGAGTCTGTGCATTACCCACTACTGACTACAAAGGAGACTTCTTTCACCAAGGTTGAGAGTAATATAGATTAATAAGTATAAACATGAATCTACAACATGATCATTAACAAAACACTCTTGCAACCAAATTGTTTTGGTAACTTCAGCTACAAAATTCACCCCAAAAAAGTACTTGCAATGACATGTTTTGTTTGGGGTGCCTCTGTGTACTCCCTGACCAGTAAATCCTAGGCAGATAAAAATTAACTGGCACAGAGAATGTCATTTCATAGGTCTGGTGTCTGGGAGCAGCATTACTTATCCTTAGATTACCTCTGTTCAAAGTTTTAGAAATTGTATTTCCTATTAATTTGTAAGACAGTGGATTTCATACAGCTTCTTCATAATCCTTTTGATTGACCCACCCACTCTTCCTCCTTTCTTCCTGTTCCATACCTTGTTGAACATTTAGTATACATCATCCAGTGCTCATTCTTTTTAATACATGTGTTCTATTATCCTCTCATATTTTTCAGTTGGATTGCAAAATGTTAAGTTCTAATGTAGCTTCTTCACAGACATCTCACTTGAGTTGATATTTCAGCAGTCCCTTTTCTTCCCCATCACTGTAATACATATTTGAACCATTCTGCTCATGGTATTCTGCCTTCTAATGTCATGTAACCTATATTCTACTATCCACCTTCTATTCTTCCATTTCCCACTAATGGCCCATTTCTAGGTCGATGACTTCTAGATATATTCTTGTTAGAACACACAAAACTGCACGTTTGAAGCTATGACATGAGAACATCATTTATCAGTTTATCATTTATCAGTTGCCTATATTTTCATCCATATTTCAAACGTACATTTTTTGTTTACAGCTGAGCAATATTGCTTTCTGATATGTATCATATTTCAATTACTTATGTGTCAGGTTCCATTTCCTAGATTACTTGGAAATAAAACAGCATGAACATAATGTACAATTACTCATTGGTAAGATGCAAAGTCCTTGGAGTTCATGTCCAGGAATGCTTACTATGTATCAGTTTCCTCTGAGATGAAACCCTTCCATTTTGGAGGAAGCTCCTTAAAACACAGGATATTAAAAGAGAGGGAAAGTTATGGGATGCTCTGATGGGAGGCGATATATTCAGTCCTGCAGGGAAGCTTCTAAAGATCAAAAATAGACAATAGGTTCAAGAATTTGCAGGAATGGGCAAAATTCACTAGTGCCCTCCTGCCTCAAGATTATATAATGAGTAAGGACTGATGACACTCAAGACAAGCTTAGCTGCACAGATGCTCAGACCAGCCACCATGCCTGGATCAGACAACACAAGCTGCCTGGAGGAGGTAGTGAGAGGCATGAAGACACTTCCAACCTCCCTTGATCTGCAATCAAGCTGTGCAGGGATCCTCAGGTTTCCAGCTTCATTAGTCATCACCCTCACAGGTCTTTGAGTCCTTTGTGATTCTATGAGTAATCCTTCACCTACACTTGTTACTGCATACCTATATGTCTATGTATATAGTTATGTATCCCTAAATACAATCTGCCAATTCCATATAATGTTACTTGCACATATGTTTTCAAGGCTGGTCATTTGGTGTTGAATAGCCAATTATCATGTTCTATCCCTGGGGGAGACTATTTCTCCTGCTCCCAGTATTCCTCAGTTGCCTGTAGTTCTCTGTGCAGGGTTGAGGCCTTGTGGGTTTTTCCCCCATCCAATTTGGCATGGCCATTGTTTGTGTCCTTGCTCAGCTTTCATTTGGGTGGTCATGTAGTTAAAATTTTATGGAAATCACTTCTTGCATTGTTAGGAGACAATTTCACAGAAAACTGCCTGAATCTGTGGTTATTGCAGTCTTTCTAGCCCCTCTTCAAAAAATGTCACGTGAGCCTTAGGTGCAGGAGTATTCTATAGATGGAATCATAGGGCCTGGCCTCCACAACTCTGCATTTTCAGTAGCTGTTGGTTTTTATAGTGGTCTCTGTTGCAAAGAGAAGCTTCCTTAATGAGAAGTGATGAATACACTTACCTTTGGGTACAAGGAAAATGATTAGATTTCTGTGAGGGATTGTGCAGGTTTAATAGCGGTGGTTATAGGTTCTCCAAAATTCATGTCTTCACCAGCACTGAGTAGGGAATGACATTTCCAGTAGCAGTCATGTTTTCCTTTCTGTGAAAAGGGTCTTACGTCCAATTAGAGAGCTGTTGGTTATCACCAAGGTCTGCTTGCCACTACTGCACCCTTAAGGTTATCCTGCCATGAAGATCTTTGATATGGTTCATAAGCATCGTAGCTGCCCAAGACTGGGAGCTTACATGGTGCTTCTGGTAGCATAAATGCTATTCTTTAGGGAGGAGTTTGCTTTATTTTGAGACAGAGTCTCTGTGTGTATTGCTAGCTCTACTGTGTAGACTAGGCTGGCATAGAACTCAGAGTTTTTGATACTATCTCCTGAGTGCTGGGTTTAAAGCTTGCATGGCCTTGCCCAACTATACATAATTTTTTTCCTGTCTTGAAAATTAATGAAGGTAACTGCATAGCATAAATGATAGACATGAGTAATCAAGTATATCTACTGACATTAAAAACTTCCTCCCACTTAAATGGAAACTCTCATTGAAATTAATCGGTTTCCAGGTGCATACAATATACCAAATTAATAAAAAAATAAGGTAAATAATGTAAACAGAACTACAAGTTGAAATGAGACTGAAGCAATTATAAAATGCCCCTTAAGACAACTTTAGAACCAGAACTACAGGATTCTATCAGATCTTCAAAGAAACACCAATAGTAAAGCTACCTAAGCTACCTAAAATACTTGTTAGTATTACCTGATATTAAACCAGATAATGATACAATCAAAAAGAAATTAGGAATTGATGGGCCATTTTAAAAATATTATCACCTATTACACACACACACACACACACACACACACACACACACACACACACACACACAGAGAGACTCTCCACTCTTACCTCCTATCTCTCTACTATCCTGGTCCACAATTGCAAAAAAAAAAAAAAAAAAAAAAAAAATCTACTGTGTTCATCTCCATTCATTTAGCTTTGAGGCCTGCTGAGATTAACCAGGGCCGTCTATGAGCTACGTGTTGGAGCTTGCTTGCTCAGTAGAGGACTGCAAGCTAAAGGCAGTTATTTTTCTCCTACAGTGCATCCATAGCCAGCATTTGAGAGGTTAAGGGTGGGGACCTGTGAGCCTTTCCCTTTCCTAGACTGACTGTGGCCTAGTGTGAGGTCAATGCGGGTTAAGTACAGTTGCTGTTGATTACTGATTACAACAGCTGTATGGAGTCTAGAGAATGGCATGTCTTAGCCCTCCCTCCTCTCTTCCTTCTTATTTCCTTTCCTCCTCCTCTTCCTCAGGGTTCAACTTTACTTCTTTTCTGCATCTGGGAGAGCAAGAGTCTCTGCATCCTCCTGGGGGTCGGTGGGGGTAGTGTGTGGGGAGGTCTAAATTTTATCTCGAACCACCTTTAGTATGAATCGCAGAAGACAAACTTGTTCCTGAGTTAGTAAAATGGCAAGACCACCATGTAGTGGTGAGAGGCATAAAGTGCAGAATGAACTCATCCCTGGTCTGTTAGCAATGGGCTGACCGCTGAATTCTTGAGGCATCTATTTCTTTTCAAAATGCAAATCCCTGAAATCTCTCTCCCTAAGGCACAGTTGAAGTATTTAGTTCTGGCTTGTCATGTCTGTGTTAGCGATGGGGCCCAGGCAACTGAGTTTAGCTGTTATCGTTTGGTGTAAGAATGTAGCCCGGGAGGCTGGCAGTCAAGTCGAGGCTATGCTGTCTTTTCTCTGAATGTTCCAGAGCTCACTGTGGGGTCAGATCCTGGGTGCAGCGTCGTCCTGGATGCAGCTCTGGTCTAGGCTGGCAGCAAGCGTGTGTGGAGTCTGTGCAGAGCGGGTCCAGGGCAGCCTGACAGCTGCAGCTGTGTGGGAGGCAGCGGGAGACAGAGTGGGAGGGACCGGTTCTGGCGGGGAAGGGAGGGCACGCACTCTCACCCGGAAACAGCTGATGGAGGAGGTTGTTTGCCATTGGTCGGGTGTAGAGGAACAGCCTAAGTGGGAGGGGCTAGAGCGCTGACGTAACGGAAGCTGGGAAGTCGCTTTAATGAGGCCAGACAAGTTGTAGTGAGGAGCCGCAGACAGCAGTGCCCAGTGCCCGTTCCCTGTCGCTGCTCCGGGTCCTGCACGGTGTGGAATCCTGTGCTGCAGATCTGGGTGCGGAGGGCACGGCGGGTGCCGCGGGGACCTGAAAACTCCGGAGCCGCAGTCTCCACGGGGGCGGCCTGGGAAAGTCACAGTCAGCAGCGCAGTGGCGGGAACCGCAGCCCGGCGGCCCTGGAACCTCCCAGGTGAGAGGAGCTGTCTGAAGTACTGCTTAATGCTGAAATATTGTATGTCTATTAACCCTTAATTGTGAGGCTTGATTTCCAGGTTACAAGCCACTTGAGGCTCAAGAGTGGCTAGGCTAAGGGTCATAATTGCCATTTGTAGCCCCCTTGAGGCAGGAGAATAGTCAGGTCCTGCTTTACAGGGGAAAGAAAAATGCCTAATACCGGGCCACAAAATCCCAGCAAATCCCTAAGTTTACTCCAAGACCAGGCAACAAAATCTCTCCAATCCCAGTCCACCCTGGAAAGCTCTGTCTCCCCTCAACCCTCTCCCAAGAAACTATACCAAGTCAACTTCCTGCTCAGTTCTTTGCTAAGTTCTCAGAGTTAGGCTGTGTTTCCCTCCCAATAAATCTCTTCTGTGAGTTTTGTTTTTCAGTCTGACTTGTGGTATTTCTTGGCCCCCAACTGCCAGGATACCTTTCCTTCAGCACTGCAATGCCTGCCATCTTATTGTAATACTTGGCAACAGTCTCTGTCCTAGGGCAGGGCAGGGCCAGAGTTCTTCCATTGGCTTATTACCCTACAGCAATGCCTGCAGATTTAACCAAATCCGAAAATATATTTTTGAGAGTTCCACAGGTATGGTTGTAAACATTAACATTTAAAAATAAACTTTTTAAATCCACCATTAATTTTCCTACTGAGACATAAGCATTCTGTGATGTAAATACAACATTGTAAAAAGTGTCTTTGCCAGGCTTGGTGGCACACACCACTCCTGAGTCAGAGACAGGTGGAACTCAGTAACTTGGAGGCCATCCTGGCCAACATAGTGAGTTCCAGGACAGCCAGAGCTACATGGTGAGACCCTGCCTCAAAAATAAATAGATAAATAAATAAATATAATTATAAAAATGTGGTTTCTAGTGCTGAGTTCTTAATGTTGCAGTTTAGAGGCTAGAAAACCACAGTACGCTGTTTGAAGGTATTAAGTTATAGTGTATTCACAGTTAGAAAAGGCATTCATTATAAGCCTGGTGGTGGTGGCTGCACACATCCTTAATCCCAGCACTCCAGAGGCAGAGGCAGGTGAATCTTGGATTTCCTTGCCATCCTAGTCTACAGAGTGAGTTTAAGAACAGTCTGTGCTGCACAGAGGAACCCTATCTAGGGGGGAAGGAGAAAGAGAGGAGAGGGAAGGAAGAAATGAAAAGATATTTTAATATAGAACAATAAAGAAAGCATCTTTTGAATAAATGTGATCATTCACCTATATCAGAAAAATGCCTACAATAGTCTTTTTGTCTCCTTACTTCCAGAAAACCACAGTGGACACATGACCAAACTGTTATTTTTTTATTCTTACGTTTGTTTTGTTTGAAGTCTGAACTCACTGTGTTGCTCTATCTGGCCCAGAATTCACCATGTAGACCAAGCTGGACTGGAACTTACAGATTTACACCCACATCTGTCTTCCCAATGCTAGGATTAAAGGTGTGTACCAATACAAGTGTTCAAACTTTTGTGTTTTACATTGTGGTTTGTTGACAGCTAGTAGTGTGACTGTGGACTTCTTCCAGAAGGTTGGGTAGTGCCTTGACCCTCTCCCCTGAGGACTCTGTACAGAGACTGGATGTTGCAGAGTTGCAGCAGTCTGGTTTCTGGGTGAGAATAGTTTGCTTGCAGTCTTCCTTGCTCCTCAGGGTTTCGTGGCAAACTAACCTGCAAGTGTGTGTCCCTTTGGGAGATGTAAGACTTCCAACATTTGTGGTCTGTGGCAAATTTACTAATTCATTTGTGTATAATATTGTCAATTGTCATTCCAGTCATTCAGTTCCATTTCTGCTCCTGAGTTTTAACCGAGCTGTGACTGAGATTGGGATTCAAGTCATACTCGCTGAAAATGCTTTCTAAATATTTTCGGTATTCTGACCCTGCATGACAATTAGGGAATCATCTGTAGACTTCTCTCTTCATCTGCTGAGCACAGTGCTGTGTTAGAAATCCAGGTGCTTTCTAAAAGAGTCTTTTCTCACTTGCAGCACTCACCGATCACCCAGACCTGCTCACTTGGGGAACAAAAAGTCCTCAAAGGTGAAGAGAGAGAGGATAGCAGCCAAGGATCCAGGTATGGTGGAGGAATTGGTGGAGGGATGGCAAGGGGTGCAAGTGAGTGTGTAAGTGGGACATGAAATCAGTTTTGCCCAATTCTATTGCACTAGAAATAATTCTGGAGACTTTCAAAGAGGAAGGTCTCACGGTTATCCCATTGTAGGTGTGAGAACAGTTTCTACAGAAGAATTGATAATGGAGGCAAGTACAATTTTATATGACTAAGCTTGGGAGTGGTGCTGTCCTCATTCGTTCACATCACTGGCCATGTCTTCAGACCATTATTAAATCATTTTTATTTCTATGATTTAATGTGTTACAAAATGATGAAAATTAATGCACAACTGTTACGGAATTAGCGAGAAACCTGGAACTGAGGAAATTCCCGGGAGTACGCAAGGGTGACCCCAGATAAAACTCTAAGCAGTAGTGGAGAGGGTGCCTGAACCGGCCTTCCCCTGTAGTAGTCAGATTGAGGACTACCATAATTGTCATCATTGAACCTTCATCCAGTAACTGATGGAAGCAGATCCACAACTAACCCCAAGACCAACTTCCCTGAGTCTAGTCAAAGAGGGAGGAGCGATATAAGTAAAGGGATCAAGACCATAATAAGGAAACCTTCAGAAACAGCTGACCTGAGCTAGTAGGAGCTCATTGATTCTGGACTGACAGCTAGGGAACCTGCATAGAATTGAACCAGTCCCCCTGTATTTCAGTGACAGTGGATGGTTTGGGCAGTGTGTGGGGCCACTGGCAGTGGAACCAGGATCTATTCCTAATTCATGAACTAACTTTTTGGAGCCCGTTTTCTATGGAGATATACCTTGCTCAGCCTAGACAAAGAAGAAGGGCCTAGATCCTGCCTCATTGTGGTGATAGAACAAACTTTATTGACTCCCTATGGGAGGCCTTACTCTCTCTGAGGAGCAGATGGGGGATGGATCGAGGGAAGGTAGAGGAATGGAAGTGTGGGGGGGGGGACTGGGATACTGGGATTGGTATATAATAATAATAATAATAATAATAATAATAATCATCTTACTCCTGGAACAGTAAAATGTGCTGTCTCTCTGAAAATGAAAAGAGGATTAAACCTTTAGGTTTATATATTGTTTTCAGAATTTTGGAGCTTTGATATTCTACTATATTCTCTACTTTTAATTATTACCACTTCCCTGGATGTTTTTAATTTTACACAGAACTATTTGTTGGTTCCTGTTCTTGTATCAAGTGTTGCTCCTTTGTGTTGCTCTGCAGGATTCAGGATTCACGGTTTCAGACCATACATGAAGGTCTGTGATTCATTGTGTGGTAGGGGAGAATTGAACCAGGTTCATGTTCTTATATGTGGTCTACATACCTTTCCCAGTGCCTCTGTAGGCTGTCTAGTCTGTAAACACAAGATCATGGTATTTTGGTATCATTCCTATGGTCATTGCTGGATTTGCTGCTCTACTACATTGGGCTGTTTGTCCGTCTTCCTCCACTCCCATGATTCTGTTGGTTGTGTGGATCTGCAGTGTTATCTGGAATCACATTGGGATAGCTTGAGCTTTATAACATTTTATATCTAGATATTTATGTTTTATGTATATGAGTGTTTTTGTTTGCATGTATGACTGTATATCATGAGCATCTTAGAATTTGGATTTTGGACAGTTGGGCACCACAGTGTGGGTTCTAGAAATGGAACCTGGATCTATGCAAGAAAAACTGGCACTCATAACCATTGAGCCATCTGTTAAGTATAATAGAAAATGGTATAGAACCATTCTAGTCATTTTTTATGTAGATGATCCAATTATCTTTCTCTTACATAAGCATTTATTATTTTTTTAAAAAACTTTTTCTTAAATTGTTGTTGTATATTTGTGTGTATTCCTAAACATAAAAATATAACCTACTCTGTATGTTTTCAGGGAAGAATACTTGATATTGGATAACCGTATGGTGTGCTTTTCTCTGGGGAAAACTATTTCTTCAGCTCTCGGAATTCTTTAGTGTTTTGCTAGAATTGAAGTCTAATGAGCTTTTTCCCTTCCATGTTAACATGTCTCTTGGTGTCCTTGTTCAGCTCATGTTTAGCCAGCCATTTTGTAAGATTTCATGCACGTAGCTTCTCTGACATTCCTAGGAGAAACATTGTGTTGCTTATGTGTCAGTGGAGACTGAGCATCACAACTCTGCATTTGACTGATTGTGGTTTTCTATAATAATCTCTATGTGTTGCAAAAACAACTTTCCACGATGAGGATGAGGACTATATTTATCCGTGGGAATAAGAATAAATATTTAGAATGTTGTTAGGGATTATACTGATTTAGTAAAGTAATGATTGTAGGTTCTCTTACAAGATGCTTGACTTCCCTAGCACTGGGGAAACTGGCTTGGTTTCCAGTACCCGACATGAATTCCCTCTTGGTGAGAGGGTCTTAATCCAATTAGAAGCTATTGGTTACCACCAAGGTATGTTTGCCACTCTTGTACCCTTAGGGCTATCATGCAGTGCAGCTCATTGCTGTAGTTCATAGGTGGCATAGCTGGGTGGGACCGTTGGTTGGCTCCCTCCTTTGGAAGCTTGCATGTTGCCTTCTGGTACCATGAAAGTTAGTCTATAGGGAGGAGGCTTTAGGTCATATCCATCTTGAGTCCTCTGGGTTTTCTGTCCATAATATTCAACTTCTCCAAAAATAGGGACTTACTCACCTTCTACCTCTGGGAAGGAAAGATGAGCAACAGCAATAATCTGTAATGTTTTGGAAATGTCTTGAACAGCTTATACCAACAAGTTCAAAACAGGCTTCGTATACCTGGTGTTGGTGGTTTTATTAAAATATGTATGGCCCTCATGGGGAGGATTATCAGTCCAGATGAGAACTTGACATTTACACATTAAACATATATGCTTATACAGACTTATATGTATTATAGGCATTTTTAGGTTATGACAGTATTATGATTCCTTGTGACTGTTTCAGACATACTTACTTTTATTTTACCCTCCTTCTGTGTTTATGTCTGACCCTTCTCCATAATTAAATCCCTCCCTGTTTTTCTTTTCCTCCTTCAGATCACTTGTTCTCTCTTAATTCCCCTGTTCATTAGTCCTTCAGATACCACAATTCTCTCATTTTAGTTTTCTGGTCACTGCAGTCACTCCAGGTTGTATATTCACATTTGAAGATTTGGAGCTAGAAACTTCTTATGAGAGAGACCATGCAATGCTTGTCTTTCTGGATCTGTGTTACTTTACCCAGTGTGATCCATCCACTTAACTTCAAAGCCAAGATTTCAATTTCTTTGCAGGTGAATAGTATTCCATTATGTTTATGTACCATATTCTCACTATTCATTTTTCAGTTGAAGGACATTTAGGTTGTTTCCTTTTTGTAGCTATTGTTAATAGAGCTGTAGTGAACATGGCTGAGCAAGTATCTGTGGAGTAGGATGTCAAGTCGTTTAAATGTATGCCAAGTAATAGAACAGCTGGGTCATGTGCTTGACTTATTTAAGATGAGGATTTGTTATTTAATTGAGGATTCTCCTTATTGATTTCCAGAGTGGCTAGATATTTTTTTCATAAGGTGTTTGTTCACTATGCTTTTGTCTTTTTATGTTTCTGCTGGTTGGATTATTGGTAGTATTCTTCCTTCTCTGAGAGATTGTAGTTTATTTTTTTCCCCATGGATGATTACTTCCCATTTCTCCTGTATTTATCTACTCTTCACATGAAATTTATTATTTCCTATGTGATCACAGATGATTCGTCTGATTCTCCTGTGAATATTTTGCCTCTAATTTGTTATCTGCAGTGCTGCTTTAGTGAAATGAATTGTGTTAACTTGGGACTATCTTGAAATGCACTTGTGTCTCCATCAATTTTAAGAGACTATTTTTCTAGTTGAAACACTACAGTTGATAGTGATTTTTCTCTACGCTTTAAATGTCTTTCCATAGCCTCCTGGATTTGGGATCATTGTCTGGATACCTGGTCATATTCTGTTTCTTGGGTTCTTTTTATGTGGTTTGACATTTTTTTTCTTAATAGTTTTCAGTATTAATATTTGCTCTTGCTTTTTGAACCCTTATATGAAAGGCCAGCAAGCCATCTATATATTCCTTGTTCCTGAAAGAGAAACTCAAAGAAGATAAACAGAAAGAAATGGCTGATTCTCCTGTTAATCTGTTGCAGGTCAGTGTTCATGTCGACTGTTTTTTATAGAAATGTAACAGTTTGAGATATTGCCAGCCCCAGTTTTCTGCTTCTGATAACCCCCCACCACACACAGGATAGCATATACATTTAATTTTTTCTTATTTTTACATATCGATCCCAGTTCCCTCTCCCTGTCTCCCTCCCTCCCATGCCCCCCAATCCTCCTTCCATTCCCCCCCCCCCCACTCCACAGGGAAGATGATGCCTTCCAGGAGGGATCAATAAAATCTGTCAAGTCATTTGGAGTAGGGACTAGGCCCTCCTTCCTGCCTCTAGGTTAAGGAACAATTCCTCCATGGAGAATATGCTCCCAAAGTCCTTTCGTGCACTAGGGATATATCCTGGTTCCACTGTCAGAGGTCCCTTAGACTGCTCAGGCCTTCTAACTGAGACCCATGTTCAGGGGGTCTGAGTCGGTCTAATGCTGGTTTCCCAGCTATCAGTCTGGGAACAAGTTCCCCCTTGTTCAGGTCAGCTGTCTCTGGGTTTCTGTAGCCTAATAATTTTTTTTTAAACTTTGTTATAAGAATTGTTGCAAACAATAAAAATCACACACTAAATTAACCAGACCCAAAGACTACACAACTCAATGTAGTTTTAGGCAGTTACAATAGTCATTGAAACAGAAGCTCTGCAGCCTCACATGAAATTTTATGTTTTCACAATCAAATATATTTTTATGAATTTATTCACCACAAAGAAAGATAAAGCCAGTGACAGAATTAGAACTAGAAAAGCAATTACCTTTCTATCCTTTTTCCTAACTGCTGTTCATTAGCTGCATTCAGTCCTACATCAAACCTTAATATGTAACCTTTCTTGTTCTCTTTTCTCCATGGTCTGCTGTGTGCACATATACGTTGTTTCCATAAATATATATTATTGGCTAGATTCTGCATGTGAGGGAAAATATGATTTCTTACTTTCTGAGACTTTATGACCTCACTGCTATTACACAATCTAAGGCCAACCATTCTTTTGCAAATTTTCATTTTTCTCTTCAGCTGAACAGTATTCCATTTTACACACACACACACACACACACACACACACACACACACACACATAAAATTTTTATTATTCATTCATTTGTTGATAGGCAATTACAATGATTCCAGTACTTTCCTAAGGTGAATAAAGCAGCAGCAAATATGGGTTGTAAATAGATTTATAAGGGGGTGTAGAGTTCTTAATATATGCCCAGGACTGAAATAGCTGAGTTAGACACTAATTCTATCTTTATTTTTTTTTAAATGATCTCCAAACTGATTTCTACAATGGTTGCATTAATTTGTATCACAACCCTCACACACACCTACACACCAACAGGTAATGAGGGACCCTTTGTCTTGATGTCCTCTCTAACATTTGTTGTCAGGTTGGTTGATGACTGCCTCACTTAAGGAAGTATTTCAAAGTAATTTGAGTTGGCATTTCCATGATGGTGTTTTAGTGATTTCATATGCTTTTTGTAATTTCTGTTTGTCATTTCTGTTTCTGCCTTTGAGAAGTTTCAATTCTGTTCATTTTCCCATTTGTTGGTTGGTGTTTCTATTTCCTTGGCATATAAATTCTGTAGTTCTTGGTGAATACTGGCCATGAGCCCCTATCCAAAGTGCCACTGACACAGATTCTCTCCCATTCTGCTGTTTCTTTTGATAAACAGAAACTCTTTATTTCCATGTAGTCCTATCTGTTGCTACTTGGGTTAGTTCCTGTGCTGCTGGTGTTCTTTCTAATTAGTAAGTTCTTGCCTATCCCAATATCCTCATGAGTATTCCCTATGTTTTCTAGGTTTCTGTGTTTCTGGTTTAATTAAGGTTTTTGATCCATTTTGAATGGATTTTTTTTTTTTTAATGCAAGATGAAAGGTAAGAATCTAATTTCATTCTCCTACTGGATCAGTTTTGCCAGCACCATTTGTGCTGACCTCCTTTATTAAAAATTAAGCATAGCTTTCTGTTTTTCTTTCTGGGAACTCTATCCTATTGTTATTCTTCTCTGTCTGTTTTTATGATCATACTAGACTATATTTATGATTGCAAGACAAGTCTGTAATTTCACATAGCTTCTGCCACTTTTCATAATTTTGCCCTACCACTAATATTTTTCTTTTTTTTGATGTCAAATATTCGATATGGACTTACAACATGTAACTTTGGAAATATTTCCACTGTCACACATGAACTAAAAAAGTATGTTGGTGCCTTATTGCTATACTTAATGTACTATATCATATGTATTATTTCTGTGATTGCTCATGTTGTAGGTGCTACTTGTGACATCTGTGATTGGTCCCATTTCCTTGAATCATGGTTATAAAAATGTATATCAAAACACATGGTCTTGTTCCACAACATCTTAGAAGTGCATGGAATTAAAGAGAGTTTTATCTTGGTTCTTAATACTAAATAATACTTTGTTCCTAATATTAATGATTTAAGCACACTAGATTGATGGGAGAGGCCATTCTGCAAATATGTTTCTCTTATTGGTTAATGAATAAAGCCCTGTTGGCCAATAGGAAAGCAATTTGGGGCTGGCACGGCTGTTGGACCAGGTTGGCAAGAAAACTACTCATAACACTAGATTGTACAGAACCTGGCAGGGATATGTGGCTTGATTTTTGCCATGAAATCGATGTTCTTGAGCATAGATTCAGATTATAGTCTACGTCTACCTGTATTTCTCTTTGGTATTTAATACCACAGCAGTGATGATATGTCCATGTGTTTGTTGACACCTGTTACCTATTTATCTCAAGAGAATTGCTGTTCGTACTCAGGCATCTGTATTGGCCTGTCCTTGGGGTTCTCTGACTGGTTATGCCCTCAGCTGCAGCCACTAAGAGCACCACCTGTGCACATTCACTATGCTTCCTTTTAAAGGACCTTGCCTACTTCCCATCCTTTCTCTCTCTCTCCTCCCCACCTCTCCTCTCTGCCTTTCTTTCCTCTCTCCTACTACTCCTGTCTAGGAGGCCAGTCTCTCCCCTCCTCTTTCCCCTTTTTATGATCCCTTTCCCCAATTAAAAACAAACAAACAAACAAAAAAAACAAAAAAAACAAAAAAAACAAACAAACAAAAAAAAACTCCTCTGCTTGAACCCTATCATTCAACCTAGAGTAAACATCCCAACTAAGCCTATTAGAATACAGTCATGTGAGACCCCAGTACACACAAGATTAATTCAGTGTTTTAGCATGATCTGCAGGTACAGTATTTAAGGCACATTTCCTCTTCATGAATTTTCCTTCTAATGCAGGTATAGGACATAAACACAGCATCAATAACAGATAACTGTGTCCAGACCTTAAATGTGTTTTGTGTATATTGCTTTTGAGAATATTGTGGCATTCTGTTTTCACTGAGTTAAAAAAAAAAAATCCTGTTGTAGAATGTGACTGTATCTTTTTGAATAATTGTTTTCACTCATTTAATTCCCTAATTTCCTTAAGTCTCCTAATAGCCAGGAAAGCACTCTGTCTGGTATCACATGATCAAACTATAGTTTTTTTTTTTCACTTCAGGGTCTATTGACGTTCAGGGATGTGACTGTAGACTTCTCCCAGGAAGAGTGGGAATGCCTGGACTCAGCTCAGAGGGCTTTGTACATTGATGTGATATTGGAGAATTACAACAACCTGCTCTATGTGGGTAAGAATATTTTGCTTGGAGAATTCCTAACTCTGGTTTTCTGTGTACTGACTTTATAGGTTGGGGACTCTCTGTTAAGCTGTTTTGGAAACAATATAAGACTAGGGAAAGTTTGGAGGTAGCAAAGAACTTTTTCTTGATATTTGTTATTTTCTTGCCATTTTCCATTCCCATTTTAGAGATGTCATGCACCCTTCACTGGTTCCAAGATGCATTCAGAAACTCTGTAGCATAAAGTATTTCTAACCATATCTTCCTTATCATTTTTTTTTCCTTTCATTGAAGTAGACTTTTTTTCTCTTACAGTTTATCCTGATTATACTTTTCTGTTCTCTGTACTCCTCCCAATTCCTCCTCATTTATCCTCCTCTCCATATCCAGCCCCTTTCTGTCTCTCAATACAAAAGAATGGGCTTGGAGCCCAGTGTGGTAGCATACACCTTTAGTCCCGGCACTATAGAGGCAGAAGCAGGCAGTTCTTTGTGAGTTTGTGGCTAGTCTGGTCTACAGACTGAGTTCCGGGCGATCAAGGGCTGTTATTCAGAGAAACCCTGTCTTGGAAAAAAAAAAAAAAAAAAAAAAAAAAAAAAAAAGAAAGAAAGAAAGGGAAGTGGGGAGGGAAAAAGGGAAAGAACTAGCTCTTAAGAGATAACACCCAAGCATGACAAAATAAAATATAGGATAAAGTAAAAACTATCATATTGAAGTTGAACAAGGTAAACCAACAGAAGGAAAAGAACAGATGTGAACATCAGAGACCCATCTGTTGTCACACTCAGGAGTCCCATAATAAGACTGTAATGCACATGCAGAGGGCCTGGTGCAGAACCATGTAGGCCCTGTGTCTGCACTTGGCTAATTGGTTCAGTGGGCTTTGTTCTCCTGTTGTCCTTCATCCACGCTGGCTCTTAAACTCTTTTCACCTCCTCTTCTGCATGGTTCTCTGAGCTCTGAAGGGTGGGATCTGATGGGGACATCTTATGTAGACTCTCTATATACTGTCTGGCTGTGGGTATATGCATCTGTTCCATCTGCTGCAGGACTAAGCTTCTCAGATGATAATTGACTAAGGCACTGATCTGTGAGTGTAGCAGTATATCATTAGGAGTCACTTTATTGATACTTTTTTTTTTTTCTTTTTACATTGGTGGTTTTTTGGTTTACCCTAGGTCTCTTGGCTCTCTAGTCTCTGGTCCTTGGTTACCAAAGCAGTGTCTGCCATGGGTTCTATTGAAGGTGGGGTTTAAATGAGTCCACCAGATCTAAGATAAATGATAATTAGGTATTTATTAGGGAACCATTTACACAGATAAGAGTAAATAACTGCTGAGGTCTTCCTGCTCCAGAAGATGCAGTCTCTACCCTTCCGATGTTCTTCGAAACCCAAGAGAATGAGAGCTAGCCCCTCCTCTACCTTATAATGGGTCATGGATGTACCTGAAACCACGTCTGAAGGGTGTGGCCACCAACACAAGTTCACTGGCAAGACTAGATGCCACTACATTCTATCTTGTGAATTGAGCCCTAAGTAAAATCAGGCATTTGTTGGTTGCTCCCACAATTTGTGTTCCAATATTATCCTAGCATATCTTGCAAGCAGGACAGACTCTGGGTCACAGATTTTATGCCTGGTTCCACCTAACATCTTAAAGATCCATGACCATCATTGTATTTTACATTGTTTTAACTGTGAGGACAACTCAAAGATATGCAAACTTAAAATTCTTCCCAATTATGGGGTAGGTCTTATAGGAAATAGCAATTGAGAAATCATTCCTAGATTACTCTACTGTGTGTTCTCTTCATGTACTAGGCCCAGAACTGTATTAGACATCAGTAGTTTTTCTGAAAACTCTGCCATGGGTTATGAGCTACCTCACAGAACACGTGGATTATTGTATGCAAGGTCAGACTGGTCACCTGTGTGCAGCAAATGAGATTACCTAGGAATGTGGAGGGAAGAGGGTAGCCACAGCCAGGGTGGGCTAGGGAGTGAGCAGGACAACAATGATGGCTTCGAGCAAAAGGGAAAGCAAGAGCTGAGAATGCTTTTGTGAACGGATTTCTGATCATTTACCTTAATGTAGTGTTCAGATCCCAGGGTGCATCCTGCCTGTTGTAATTGTTAGAAGATGTTGTGTCTTATTGCACCTGAATTATGGTAACTGAATACTAATACAAAGTGCAATTTTATTTGATTATGCTGATATCAGATTGGAATAATCTTGTAAATGCTAAGTCTAATGTGAGTCCATGAAGTAGTATTATTCTTTAACAGCCTTCCTTGCATGTGTGTCTTCATTGCATTCTTCATTTTCTTCCCAGTGGAGAATACATAGACACCCTTCTGGAATATATTCTCTGGAGTTAGTATAGAGAGTAGATTTGAGAACAACCCTATGAGGAAAGTTAAGAAACACAGTAGTGTGTGGAGCTCAGACAGACAATGAAGGATAGAAATAAGCAATAGCTAGCTGCCCATGACATCTCTGCCTCAAATGTAGACTCTAGTCTCCAGGCTCCATAGTCTAGCACCTTTGATATCTGGTAAAATGGCTTTGCTTCCATACTTTTGAAGAATCTAGTGTGCTTTTTAGAAAATATAAAGTAACCCTTTGATGCCTGTTTTAAAACTGTTTTGTTTTTCAAGTAAAGGTTTCAATCTGTACCCCTAACTGTCCTGGAACTTCCTTTATAGACTGGGCTGGTCTCAAACTCACTGAGATCATCCTGCCCAAGTGCTGGCATTAAATGCATGCACCACCGCTGCTTGGCTCTACTTTGGTTCTTTTAAGTAAGCCTTTAATCATTATAGAAATTGGGTCTTCTGAACTGTATCCTTTATTCCTTTATATTAGTTAAGTATAAACGCTGTGAAGCTAGAATGGGAGTAAACTCTACTATAATAATTTCACCAGCACAAACATTTAAAACTATAAACATGTATTTAAAGTATAATCAGTTGGTGAGCTCCCTCCTAAAGCTAATTTGCTGATCCTTAGTTGTTCTTCTTTGGAGGCTGTCACTGTTTTTGGAAGAATACATTCAATTATAGTGAAAGGAAAATGATGAGTACCAGGAACTCTGGGAAATGGTTGCTAGTTGACATAAACAGGGAGACAATCACAGTCACTTGTGAAATGTTTAATCATGGAATAAGCCCTATTAATATGAACTGTACTCATTTTCAGAGAACTATTGCGTATGTGATCCAGTCCATCAACATGTGAATAATGAAAAGGAGTGTTGTCAGTGTAATGAGCTTGGCAAAGTGCTTCATGACCCCTCCACATGTGCATTTTATAGAACACGTGAAACTACAGAAAACTCTAGTAACTACACATGCAGTATCCACAGGCATGCCTCTGTTGACTCATCAAACCCAGATAGACATGAAAACATGCACACTGGAGAAGAACCTTGCATGTGTAAGGACTGTGAGAAATCTTTAAATTTGTGTTCCAGCATTACTCAAGATCAGAGACTCTACACTGCAAAGAAAGAGCACAGACAGGGAGAATATGATGACTATTTCAACTCTGCATACAGTGTTGTGCAGCAAGCAATCTATATTGGAGAGAAACCATACCAGTGTGAGGAATGTGGAAAATATTTCAGTAATGCCACAAGCCTCACTGTACACCAGAGAATACATACTGGAAAAAAACCCTACAAGTGCAATGTTTGTGACAAATCCTTTACCCAGTGCACAAATCTTAAAACACACCAAAGACTTCATACTGGAGAGAGACCTTATGAATGCAGAGAATGTGGAAAGTCATTTCGTCACTTATCAGCGCTTAAAAGCCATCAGAAAATGCACACAGGAGAGAAGCCTTACAAATGTAAGGAATGTGACAAATCCTTTTCCCAGTGCTCAAGTCTTAAAACACATCAAAGACTTCATACTGGGGAGAAACCTTATAAATGCAAAGAATGTGGAAAGTCATTTCGTCAGTCCTCCGCACTCAAAAGCCATCAGAAACTGCATACAGGAGAGAAGCCTTACAGATGTAAGGAATGTAACAGATCCTTTGCCCACTATTCTAGTTTCAGGAGACATCAGAAAATCCACAGTGTTGAGGAACATTCTAGTTATGAAGTATGTGGCAAGGTCTTTCATCAGCTTCCACAAAGTGGAAGCCACTACAGACTCCATACTGGAGAGGAGCCTTACAAATGCAATGAGTGTGATACAGATTCTTTACCCACTATTAATGATTTAGGAGGCATCATAAAAATCATTCTTTAGAGATGTTGTAAGGATGCAAAGATTGTGATAAGTCCCTTCATTAAACACCATGTCTTAAAAAGGCATTACAGAATCTATACTGAAGAGAAACCTTAGAAATGTAGATGTATGACAAATCCTTTACCCAGGACTCACATCTTAGAAGGCATCAGAGAGTTCATACTGGAGAGAGACATTACAGTTCTAAGGAATGCAACAGATCTTTTACTAGGCGTGCATATCTTAGAGCAGATCAGAAAATTCATACCGGAAAGAAACCTTACAAATACAAAGACTGATACATCCTATACCCATATTGCAAATCTTAGAAGACATCAGAAAATTCATACTAGAGACAAAAATACTGTTGTAAATACTGTGACATAGCATTTATCTGGAATTCTTGGCTTACAAATCCTAACATACATATAATAAAAACATAAAGATAAGAAACTTGTGAATGCTTTTAATGGAGATCTACATCTTAGAAAAATATCACAGGGTCTATATTGAAATAAAATTCTTTAAAAGTAATGGAGATTGTTTTTTTTCTTAAGGTATAAGGTTGCTTTGCCTGCAAGTATTTCTGTATACTGCATGTTTGCCTGGTGCCTGGCAAGGTCAGAAGAGGTCATTAGATTCCCCTGAAGCTGGATTTACAGAAAGTTGTGAGCATTGTATATGTTGGGAATTGAACCCCAGTTCTCTGGAATCACATCCAGTGCTTTTAACCACTAAGCCATATATACAGCCCCTGGTAAATGCTGTAATAAGAGCATTTATCTTGTTCTGTATTCAAAAATTCACAATAATGTCAGGTGAAGTGGTGCATGCCTTTAATCCCAGCACTTAGAATGAAGAGGCAGGGATATCTGTGTGAGTCAGAGACCATCCTTGTTTATACAGTTTCAAGACAGGCAGGACTTCATCAACTATCTCAACAACAACAAAATCATAATGAGAACAAATTGTAGTAATTTAAAAAATGTGTCAGAGCCCTCTAATTTTGCTATTCATCACAAAATTCATAGTTCTAATAAACCATATGAAGCTATACCATATATAATCCCCATGTGTTGCTGTTCATTATAAATTCTACCCCTGAAATGCATTCAATTTGATAGACCTATTGCCTACTTCTGAAATTGTAGACATAAAAAGAATTCATGAAAGAAAGGAGAATGTGCTCTAATAAAGTCTCGTTTTTTGTTCACCTTCAAAATCTTCATACAAGAGTCAAACCTTAAAGACAGCAAGAAGGTGAGAAACTGTAAAGAGATAGGCTATGACTGTCACAGTGTGGCATGCTCATGTACTGCTTACAAAACTTTAAGGGCTAAGGCTGTGGTCCTGCATGTTTTTAACACCAGCCTTCTGGAGACTCTACCCCAAGTCACAATTGCAGCATTTGGTTTTGGCTTGTTAGTTAGGTTTGTGTTAGCGATGAGACGCTGGCATCTGAATTTAGCCTGTTGTCATTTGCTCTGTGTAGCCCAGTAGGCTGTTAGGTTAGGCTTCCTGTCTTTTACCTGAAGGGTTCAGAACCCACTGTGGGGTCAGATACCGGGATGCAGCGTTCCTCCTAGATGTCAGGCAACAAGCTTGTGAGCAGCTGGTCCAGGGCAGCCAATAGCTGGAGCTGTAGGGAAGGCAGCCTGAGTGGGAGGGACCAGTTCTTTGGGGCTGGGTCAGTCATTGGGAAACAGAGCTTGGCGGGAGGTTGATCATTAAGTGTTGATGAAGAGTTGGGAGTGGGAAAATTTACAGGAGTGAAATGAAAGAAAGCAGGGAACCATGTGAGGCCGGGGAAGTTGGACTGTGGAGCCAAAGCTAGATGTGCCAAGTGTCCTGTCCTTGCTCCGGGTCCTGCACGGTGTGGAATCGCGCGGTGCAGACCTGAGTGCAGAGGACACAGCGGGTTCTCTGGGACCTGAAAACTCTGGAGCCACAATCTCCGGGCAGGGCGGCCTCTGGGAAAGTCACAGTCAGCAGAGCAGTGGCAGGAACTGCACGCAGCCCAGTAGCCCTGAAACCTTCCAGAGGAGCTGCAGGGCTGGGACCCAGGAGAGGGGACCAGAGGTGTGAGCAGTTTCTCTGCTGTTCGTAAGAGCTCTGAGACATTGCTCTGGGTGTCTTTCCTGCTCGTACATTTTAGGTCGTGTGAACTGGACTAATCCTGTTTCCTGTTGTTGTTTGTTTTTTTCATAGATCCTCTAGTTGCCAAAATATTCTTATAAAAATAGTCTACTAGAATATTTGAATTTATTTGTTGAGATTTGTAAACTCAGTTCTCTTTGCTATGGTGGGAAGGACAAAGCTCTTGAAATTTACTTTCATCCACGCTACCTTCCATCTTACCTGGGGACTTGGGAATTTAGCATCCCAGAAGAGCATTTGGGTATTAATCATGAAAGGAATGACTTCATATTTAATTGAGTACGAAAATATTATTTTTTGCGAATTTTACATATATGGTTGTTAACATTGCCATTTAAAGAAAGTAAAGTTTTTACCCATCATTAATTTTCTGTCTGGGACATATTCACTCTGATACGTAAATACAGCATTGTGAAGAGTTCCTTTTTGCCAGACCTGCTAGCACAGGATTTGAACACTAGCTCTCAGAAAGCAGAGGCTGGAGGATCTCTTTGAGTTTGAGACCAGCCTAGTGTACATAGTGAGTTCCAGGACACCAATAGCTCCATGACGAGACTGTCTCAAACGAAACCAAACCAAAACAAAACAACAAAGAACAAAAAAAGGGGACGGGGAGTAAATGTGTCTTCTTGTTCTGAGTTCTGTATATTACATCTTGGAGACTGGAAAGCACAGTTTGATGTTTGAGGGTGTCAGGTCACAGTTTGTTCACGGTTAGAAAAGACAACAGGAGCCAGCCAAGTGGTGTTGGCATATGCCTTTAATCCCAGCACCCAGCACCTGGGAGGCAGAGGTAGAGGCAGTTGGATCTCAGAGTTTGCTGCTAGCTTGGTCTGTAGAGAACCTTTTAGGACAACCAGGGCTAATAATGGACCAGCCTGACTCTTTCTTTGGGAAGGAAGCCATTTTGTAATAAGATCAGAACAAGTTCGTTTCTTTTTAACATTCTAATTGACCATGCTTTAACCTGTTTCTGGAATTTGACATGCTCTCCACCCTATGGAGTTTGACTCATAGCTTGAACATACCCAGATAAGATGTTCTGCCAAATAATTTAAAAATCTTTAGGCAAGTTTCTACTTAACAAAAGTTCCTCTGGAAATCCACCCGCCCTTGAAAAATCTACCCAGCCTTGCAGTTTTGTGGATTGTATAAGTCCCACCTTCTTCCATGTTCAATGCTATACTTTCAAACCCTGCTTTAGGGAGATAACCATGCTTGACAGAAAATAAAGCTTTCTTTAATTTGTCCAAAGAATTTGGGTAATAGTTTTTACTATCATTCTTGTGGGATTATACTACATAAAGAAAACCTGTCTCAAAAGGGGGTCATTTAGTATAGGATAATATTTGAAAGCATCTTTTGAATAATTATAAGAACTCATTTACATCAGAAAAATATCTGCAATAGTCTTTTGTCTCTTCCACTCAAGAAAAGCACTCTGTCAATGGACACATGACCAAATTGTTAGGTTTTTGTTCTTATGTTTCCTGTGTTTGAGATCTGAACTTACTGTGTTGCTCTGTCTGGCCCTGAACTCACCATGTAGACCAGTCTAGACTGGTTCCATCCACCAATTTCTCCCAAGTGCTAGGATTAAAGCTGTGCACCAACAAGATGATTCAAACTGTTGGTTTTTATTTTGTGTTCTGTTGATAGCCAGTGGTGTGTGACTGTGGACTTATCCCAGGAGGAGTGAGTGGCAATGCCTGGACCCTGCCCTGTGGGCTTTGTACTGAGAATGGATGTTGCAGAATTGCTGTGATATGGTTTCTGTAAGTGAGAATAGTTAATTTGCTTGCAGTTTCCCTTGCTCTTCCTCAGACTCCTAGAAAAACTGGTCTACATGTGTATTGCATAATTGTGAATGAGTCTTAAAAAGTAAAGTGAAATCCTCAGAGGACTGAAGAAAAGTTTCATGAAATGTCATCATCTCTTTGTGTGTGTCCCTTTGGGAGAAATTCTGAATCTCACTATGGTGTAATATTCTCATCCCAATAATTCAGTTCCATTTCTCCCCTGAGATTTGACTGAGCTATGATTGGATTCAAGGTATGCTGTCTGAAAATGCTTTGTAAATATTTTCAGTATTCTGACACTGCAGGAGAGTTGGGAATCATTTGTGTAATCTTGTATTTAGTGTTTTTCTTATTTTACATATTGATCCCAGTTCCCTCTCCCTCCCATGTCCCCCCTCCTACCCCTTCCCCCCCCACTCCCACTCCACAGGGAGAGTTATGCCTTCCAGGAGAGTTTATCAAAATCTGTCAACTCATTTGGAATAGGGTCTAGGCCCTCCCACTTGCCTCTAGGCTAAGGGAGTATCCCTCCATGGGGAAGGTGTTCCAAAGTCCTTTAGTGCACCTGGGATACATCCTGGTTCCACTGTCAGAGGTCCTATAGACTGGCCAGGCCTTCTAACTGATACTCACCTTCAGGGGGTCTGGGTTGGTCCTATGCTGGTTTCCCAGCTATCAGTCTGGGATCCATGACCTCCCCCTTGTTCAGATCAGTTGTTTCTGTGGGTTTCTGTAGCTTGGTCTTGACCCCTTTGCTTATCACTCCTCCTTCTCGAACAGGTGAGAGCAAGAAAAAAGATACCATAATAGAGGGAACAGAGAAAACTGACTCTAGAGAAAAGTCCAGAGACCTACAAGGATGACCCCAACTAACAATCTGAGCAATAGTGAAGAGGCTACCTTAAATGTCCTTCCCTGATAATGAGATTGATAACTAACATATCTGCCATAATAGAGCCCTCATCTAATAACTGATGCAAACACCCACAGCTAAATACTGAGCCAAACTCCTGAAACTACCAATTTAGCTAATCAAGTAACACATGTTTTGAACAGCTGTTATGAGTTGTGTATCATAATATAATGAACATTTATTAATTTATGCACCCTTCTGTCCCTTGTATTTTTATCTGTTCATTTCTACTTTTAAAATTTATTTTCATAATATTGCTCCCCATTTTAAAAATAATATTTTATTCTTTTTAATGGGTTTATTTTCCAATAAGACACATTATGACATTAGATCATCATGTTTTCATTTTCACTATGGACCTTTAAATTCTACTAATGAGTCAGCCATAAACTGCTATATGGCTTTTCTGATATTGGACCCATCTCTTCATGCTGCTTGACCATGGACATACACTGCTGTCAGCCTCAAACATGACTCCTCGTGTCATTCTGTAACTATACCATGTGTAACTTCTGACAGGCACAGAAAATATTTCCTTCATATTTATTGCATTATATTTGTGGAGAAGATCAT